CATTCGACTATGTTGATCATAAAATGTGTCAACTCAAAAAATAAAACTGATTTATTTATTATAATTTCTTCAGGTATAGTATTAAGTACCATTTCAAGCAAAATCCAAAACGGATGTTTTAAATACTAATCAGTGATCCGACGATCACTTGTAAAAAAAATGTAAATCTAAAAATATCCATTTCCAAGCTTTCTGGATTCTATGAAGGAGTTGTTAATTCACTGTTATAAATATTTATGAGTGAAGGAGTGCTGTGAGTTACAAACTTTTTCACAGTTTGCCGAAGGCATGGAGAACGTATACATACAAATTAGGAGGACCATTTTTCGGCTTGCTAATTTATACACTGTAATCACCGAATTATTCATTTAAAATATGAATAACTAGTTGACCCGTGGGAAAAAATTCGCATACAATTTTGTTTAATGAAGAAATAGCAACAATATAGTACATAAGGCAACAATATAGGAAATAAGTAGTTCCTATGTATTAAGTAAGGAAGGAATTAATATTTTTTCCTTGGTCGATTACAATATTCCATTAAACATAATAGACCAAAATATTTATACAAATTGCTTTGCTAGGGCAACCAAATGTCCTTAAGAAATAATAAAGTTAATATATCAGCCAGGAAAAAAAAATGTAGTAGACTATTCTACTACTAAATGCAATATCTTTAAACTGGAAGACATTATTAAGTATACCAAACTAATAGACTGTATATTTGTTAATAATTGTTCGATTTTTTTTTTTATATGTAATTTAGTAATCTCTCTAATTATCTAAAAACTCCTAAAAGGTTTCTATTTTATAAATTGAGTCCTAAATTATTTAGGAAGGTTAGTGTCATTTCGTGTAGTTTATAAGGCCCTATATTCCTGCAAAATTTCGTGTGAATACGTGGAAGAATATTGAAGTTACAACACTTTATGTGATTTTCGAAATAAAATCAAATGGGGGAAGAGCCTTAGGTCAAATTTGTAGAAAAAAAAAAATTATTTTTCGATCTGAATGAAAATTCGTATTCGAGGGTCTTTCGAGCTGCGAAATACAAATTTCAGCTCTGTTTCTCCTTAAAAAAATGTTTCAACACATTTACTCCTTCGATCAATGCGAATTGTTCAAATTATATATATATATTTCTAATCGATTTTTAATATATTTTTTTTTGCTTTGTAGGTAATTTAGTAATCATTCTAGTTATCATGGATAAAGCCAAGAAAAAAATGTTTACTTTTTGAGTTATTCCCAAATAAAGTTTCTATTCCTTCATAACTTTTTCCCCAGAAATTCCGGAGGAATAGGATTATTTTTCGCATGTGGCGGAGAAGAATATGTTCAAAATGAGTGGTCAATCATTGGATTTGATGAAGAATTGACGAAGTTATGGCATACCCACAAAAAAAAAAAGTTATAGAAATAATATATAGGATGTTATAGTTAGAAACAATATGATTTTTAATCATAGTTTCACTTCCTATTCGTACCACACATCCGAGAGATCAAACCTCAATAATTAATTTATAAACATGATAATTAATATTTATGAACACTTCCTTGTTTTCACTCATCAAAGCTGAGGGGTGGTCTAGTGAAAGCATTTAATAACGCACCGCAACACTTCACAGCGTGGTTACTATTTGTGAATCACTCAATATCCACAAGGCTGTGAAAGTATGAATAAAGACATCCACGTGGGGTGTAAATATTTAGCATCGTGTTATCTTGCCAACACCAAATCAATATAACACATGCATGAGATGAGTGTTAAAAACAACAAGCAGGTAAACAACTAATTTCTGGGTAAGTGTGGGGTTTTTAGGAAGAAATTAGATTTTCACTACATTTAATAATGATAATGTTTATTATAATAATAGTTTACTATAAAGAAATAGTTAATGACATGGCTTGAAACGGAAAAGAAGATCTTATTTTTAAAAATAAAAAGAATACGGGAACTTAACCGAGTTTCAAGAGCATAAGAAATTGTATTGCCGAAAGTTTTTCAGTTCTTTTGGAACAAAGACTTTTTCCCTTGCAACTTTTCAAGTAAAGGTCTTACGAAACTTTTATTTTAAAAATATTTTTATTTAAGAATTCTGTCGATTTCGCTTAAAAGTCTATCTAAGATATGACTTTTACTCATAGTTACACAAACAAACGACACATCAGAATCACGTGCAATTCATTTATGGCAAATTACAACTCTAATCTAAGGCCAATTACTATTTATTTTTCATTTAACGGAACTTTTTTTTTAAGATAATAAATAAAAATAAGCGAATAAATAGAATTTAAGCATTTAACATAAATGTGGAACTTTATTACAAAAAAGTTCCTTAGAACTTTTTTTTCAAAATTTTTCTCAGAAACTGTTAAAATGGAATTTCGTTCCTAAGTAAAGTTTCACATAAACTGTGTAAATAATCTTTTTTTAAAAAACTCCATAATAGTTTAAATCTCGTGTAAATAACAATGTTAAGCGAACTTAATGCCTACACACTATCAGTTTTTTTAGTTCATTATTTAACCAAGATAAAATTTTGTTCAGTGAGTAATATAAAATAACTAAGTATATTGCAAGATTTAATTTGAAAACAATGTATAATAAAATAAAAATAAAAAATATTGTTGGCAATTAATTAATAATTTCCTTCCTTTACAAAAAAATATATGAAATAATATGACTTTTTTTTAACAATAAAAATTTTAATTAGTTATTTCACATTTTTCATTTTATTTATTGATGTTTCTGTCTCATTTTGACCATTAACAAATTTTCACCTTTATATATTCTTTACCGCTTTATCATAGTTTTTTTTTGCCTTACAATAATAATATTTTTTTTCTTTTCGGAAAAAATCGTATTTTTTCGACCACTTATTTTGTGCTGTATTTACAATCTAAAAACAGATAATTCTTTTATTATATATTATACTACAAGAATTGTTAGCATTTATTTACTTCAGTTTAGGATCTTGTCACTTGGTTTACTCTGTTCATATTTTAATGTACTTACTGTTTATAAATTCACATTGTTTATAATTTTTTGTCTAAATATTATGTAACTTCCACAATTCTCTATCTTTTTGTACCTTGTCCATTCTAGCCCTGAAGAAGAGCTGCAAAGTCGAGTCAAACGTTTGCTTTTAATAAAATAGGTTTGCCACTCTTTAGCCTATTTATGACCGCCACCCCGAACCATCTACTTCCTTTATAATGAAACGGTCAATTATTAAATATTCAATATAAATAACACATAGAATTTTTTTTTCAGTAGAAGAAAAATATATATTTTATGTTTATCTAGATTTTAGATTTTTTTTTTTAAGTTTATATAAACTAATTACCTTTTTTTATACATATATAAAGATGAGCAATGTACAAAAAAAATAAACATATTTTTTTAAATGCAGCATTCCACATTTTTTTTTTATACATTGTGCATTATCAACAATAATGAAATGAAGGGAAAAAATTAATCTCCATTCAATGGTGGGAAAACTTTAAATTTTGTTAAAGAACATAGAAATAAAAAATAACTGAATTAATGTTGTTGTTTTTTTAGTTCGTTCATTAATTCATTATATGTTTTATTTATATTATATAAATCATTTTAAAATTTAATATTTTAAAAAATTCAACAAGCTTTAACTGTAATAAACAAGAATATACCGATGTTCAGAAGGTGATCCTCTATGAATGAATAAATGAAAATTAAAGCTAATTTTGTTATAATTCGTAAAGAAAAACAATGTCTCATTCCCATTCTTTTTCTGCTGCTATACACAAGACCAGATGTTCTCTAACTAGAGTCCTCATAGTCATTACATGGGTTCCGCAAAAACATTTTGATATTAACTTTACATCTCCTAACTTTTCGATTTTATTCATTCACTATTTTATTCATAAACTAAATATAAAAAATATCATTTAGTTAATTTTTGAGGTAAATTATTAAAACAATTTTGTTTTTCAGCAGCCACGAATGTCAAGGAATAAAACCCATTCAGTTGTACCATGTTTATTTATTTTTTTTTGTCTGTCGAAATTTAGTAGTAAAGTGGATCAGGAGAAAAAATAGATTACCTGCTAATACATATAGTCGATATGTTATTACTGTATATTAAGAATAAAAATATAACTTTGAGAAGAAATTACATCTTCATTTTTCAATCATTACTGAACACCTATAGAATCCCCACACACTTGTTTGGTGTCTCTGATGTGATGTACCTTAACAAATATTCAACTAGATGGTATATTTTAGAAAGCTTATATGTTTAAAATAAAGCACATCATATAACTGTTGTATTCAAGTAATAAAGTGTAAATATTCTCTAATTATTATGTAGATTAAATATTCCACTGCACAACTTAGTTAAATGAATGTATGTATATACCACCCAATTAAGAAAATATATGAAGTAGATAATTTTACTAAGAAAAAGGAACTAAAACGACGAAATTAAAAAAGAATAAATTAAGAATTTTCAATAAAAAATAAATATCATCAGGTGATAAGATCGAAATAAATTATTAAATAACCAGAGATGGGAATAGATAAACCAGCAACATATCCGCTATTGAAGTTGTTCCGGACCCAGTTTGCGCCATTTCCGGCCTCATCGCAACATCCCTATTCCATCTTCCATACTAGCGGAAGTAGAACGATTTAGATTCCGAATTAGAAAACGAGCTAATTCGCTAAAACTAGCAACCGGAAAATATACCTTTGTTTTATTTTATTGTAGTTGCAATTCTAAAATTACTAGCATCACTAGTACCACTAGTTAAATATAAATAAATGTATTCACATTAGCAGTAATTAAAGCAATAATAGATACATAAGAAAAATGTCCAATAATATTTCAGCTTTCTCCAAGTTTAAGCTATGTGAAAGAGTTGAGTGATATATAGATCTAAACAGGTGATTAATAACAAATGAGTGTAGTTCAAAAAGAAGTACCTGAGAGATGTGCGTTGCGGAAGATTGTTATTTATCGTGCGATGGGGGGCGGTACCCAGGCGGCCTGCCGTGGACGGACCGCCATGTGCGGGGTGGATGGGTTGGAGAGTCCCGACTCGTGGATGGGGGACAGGGCCGGGGACATGGGGTTGCTCTTCCTCTTCAGCTGGCGCCGCGGGAGAGGACGCCGCTGGACCCGGGGGCCCTGCACCGCCGCCAGCACCTCCGATAGTTCCTTCAGCGACACGGTCTGCATCTGGCGGCGCACCGGAGGCGGCAGCGACGGCAAAGAGGTCATCGAGCTGCTCCTCTCCGGCATGGAGGCCGAGCTGATGCTGCCCGCGCTGAAGGAGGCCGGCATGCTCCGGCTGGGCCTCACCTGGTTCCTCCGGGTCTCGGCGTCCGTCCCACAGACCCGCCAGCCCCGCTCCCTCCGGTTCTGCTTCCTCCTGGCCGACTTCCTCTTGTAGGCGTCGATTTGTTCTTTCAAGGTAGGATCTGCCTTCAGCATCTGGCAGTAGCGGCATCCGGGACAAGTCTTCCTGACGACTAGCTGATTCTTACCGTCTACCCTCTTCAAAGTTGTTATTTGATTGAAGGTGCTCTTGTCCGGTGGTTTGGCGATACCTGGTTGATTTTCATTTTGTCCCTGCGAACGATTCATCAATTTATGACACACACTTTGGTATTGGGTTTCGTCTGGGCTCCTTTCGCTCGAGCACTGCGAACCATGCTTTGTGCCATTCTGGTACTCGTGCACTGTAAAAATCGGCTCGGAATTGGATGGAAGAGAACTTCTTTGAGGGACGCCTCTGTAATTTCTGATATACTCGTACGTAGTGATACCTAGGTAAGAGATGTAAGCATGGAAGAGACACAGATGTATGAGAAGTCCGGCTGCTATTGTGGCCAGCACTCCGATCACACCTGTGATGCAAAGGAAGACGTTGTTGTTTAGTGCGAACATATTGAAGGAATGTGGTTCGAACACTGTGCCATCGAAGGGAGAATAGTACCAAATAGCCAACCATGTCTGGTCCGTATGGTACAGGATGAGGACGGCGCCCGAAGTGCCAACAATGAGAAGACAGGCTAGGACAGCCGATACGACACAGACTAGAAATGCGACGTAATTCCTACCTCCAATACAATGGTTCAACCATTTACAATGGTGGTCGAATCTGCCAACACACTTGTTACAGACACTGCAGTGTTTGGTACGTGGTCCGGAAGTCTCGATGTTACACAGGTGGCACCTTCCGTTTTCGATGACATGAGCGTGCTTGGACCTGTCAAATTCTGGCACGGCCGTGGAAGAGGCCTTGAACTTTCTAAGCTGAGGATCTGCGGGGTCGAGGAGGACGGCTACGAGGTGGGAGGCCACGTGGACGACGAAGAGGCTGGCGAGGACGGCGAAGAGCGCGGGCCAGAGGGACGGGGAGAGCGCCGGCACGATCAGGAGGAAACCTGCTCCGGCGAAGACGACAAGGAGGACCCAGCCGACCACCTGCTGGGGGTGGAGTGGAAACTGGAGGCCGTGGAGGCGACGCCACTTTCGGTGCTCCGGCGGGGCGAGCCCGCTCTGCAGGGAGCACCAACAGACCATCGCACCATGCCGGTCGCGGCGCTACTGACTGCCGCCCCTCCTGCGCGGCATCGACCGGCGCACCCCCACTCCCTCCCTCCATACATCACCACAACTACCTCAGCCAATTGACAGCTTGTCATCCCCCAGGAACCCAAGCACTGAGCACCGCTAAGCAATAGCCAGCATAAATGATTGATGTTTTTTGTTTTTTTTAATGATGACAACAGCAAACAAAAACAAAAGGCAATTAAAGAAAGTAATTGGGTTAGAAACGTAATATAATTTATATATTTCTTGAGGTTAAAAGACAAAAATTATTACGAATGCGGATCGGACAAGAATCACACTTCACAAATATTAACATCCGAATTATATTAACATTCGAAAAATACTGAACATATATAAGTTTGTGAGAAAAAAAATGTAATTATAGAACTCAAACTCAAGCGCTTTTTTTTCGAAGGATTTCGTAGCAAGTTTCGAATGAAATTTTACCTCTGGAGTTATCTAATAAGGTTATAATGTATATCATTATAAAGGCTACAGTAAAATACTTCAAAAGAGCATTCGAGATTTGGGAGTTGTACCTTTTGATTTATTTATTTTTTAATAACGATAATTATTCGGAAAGGTAAAAAAAAAAAATATAGTAGATGAAATGATGTTTAAGCAATCCTTGAAGTCAAGTTAGAACAAAAGTAATTGAAGGAACAATTATATTTTTAAGGATAATTTGTTTCTTGATTCGTGCTTGAATTAAGTAGCTGTATATGAGTTATAATTTAATAAGAATACATATTGTGATATTTTGAGTATTTATCTCAATCTCAGAAACAAATATGAACCAATGAATGAATTTCGCCATTTTTGGGAAGACTTCTGACCGAAACCCTCTATGGGTTTGCCAGTTCCATGCTTTAATTTTAACAATACTATTTATTAGAATTATTAAAAATTGGAAAGTAGCAATAAAATGTATACTCAAGATTTATATCAAACCAATCTACATCAAACACAAGCAATGAAATGTTCAAATCAACATAATTTGAGGCAAATCTGCTGAAACCAGAAAAACTTCATTATACTCTGATTCGATATCAAAACAAAAACAAAGAATTTTTTTTTTTTTTTATTCTTCTTTACTACTTCAATTCCGTAGCTTCATAATGTACTAATTGAACAGCTACTAAGTTTACTATAGAAGTAGTAATTGAAGTAGTAAAGAAGAATAAAAAAAAAATTTTCTTTGTTTTTGTTTTGATATCGAATCAGAGTATAATGAAGTTTTTCTGGTTTCAGCAGATTTGCCTCAAATTATGTTGATTTCAACATTTCATTGCTTGTGTTTGATGTAGATTGGTTTGATATAAATCTTGAGTATACATTTTATTTTTTTAATTTCACAGTATTATACTATGGCATACTGTTTTTCGTCCACTGGAAGAGAAAAAGCGCTACAAATTCACAGAGCTACATTTGTCAACAATGGACGACGCGTAAGCTCGCAGATACGACGTACTACATAGATTTAATGCTACAGCAAGCGGCATTTAGCTACATTTTCCTAAAACTGGAATACTCCTGTGAGAACTTATACATTAGATAGGTATCCTTCCCAGTAGGGTGCCCGAAGTAGGGGCCATCGATGGTCGATAATATAGAAATATCGACTCTTTCAATTTCAAAATTAAAATTAAATCTATCGTTTTCGGAAAGCGCTAGGAATTTATATGAATCTGATCGTTAGAACAAAAAATTATATTCATCTTGCCTGTTTCATATAGAATAGTACTATTCAGTACGTAGTAGAGGAATATACCGATACTTAGATAATATCCCCTAATAAACTTAATTTACCCAAATTAGTTAGTTGTGGGACCTTCGCAAACCAACACCACGAATTGTCAAATATATTTATGTAAGGTGCAAATAAATTAGCATTTCGCTGAAATCGATCTAAGAGTGAATGGAAGGCATAATTGAGCGAATGTAAATTTCTGAAAAATGGTAAAGAAATTCTGGAAAAAAGGTAAGGACGACGAAGATCGACAGGAATATAACATTGACTTCAAATCCCTCAACATAAAACAATGGAGTATTTATTTTCACATTAGACAATATGATGTGAAATGGAAATATAACAACCATATAATGCACAATTGTACACGGCCATCTTTGAACCTCATCTAAAATCGATTTATTGCTACAGCCTACTTTAATATATAATCCTTAAAATCCCTTTTTGTAATATGTAGTTAAAAAGTTTTAGTAACTTTCATTTCAGCTAAAAACTTAATTTTCTAACAATACTTTCTTTGTTCATTTGCTTTTTTAGTAGGAAAGATCTCACCAACAGGTTTCAGAATTCAACTTGATTGGAAATTCCCAGAGGAGCCCATCTCTCTCCCTCCTCTCCAAGAAGAGGGATAGCGCAACCCTTCCTCCAAAAAAAAAATTGAATTGCTTTCCCAAGCAAGTGAAGAGAATTATAAAAAATTTAATTTTTTTTTTTGATAAACAAGAACAACAAGTTTCCCTAGTTCTCATGTTTGAAAGTTTTTCTAAAAAAATTGAAAACCCACAAAAACTCATAAACCTTAAAATGTGAATCATGCACCTTCTATAAATCACTGCACAACACTACATTTGTTTTAGCAGCTGATTTTTTGATTGAAAATGCGGCAATAGAACGTACAATAGAAATATAACAACTAAAAGTCAAACTATATTTCTTTTAAAATCGATTGATTGCTATAGTTAGCTCTAATAAACAATCAATCAAACTCTTCCTTTAAATAGAAACATATTTTGAGCAGCTTCCATTTTAGAAGAGAACGTAGAAACCCTCATTAAAAAACAATTAAGAAGAGAAAATAGAAGCATTATTTGTATTTGATAATGTTTTAATAGTTTTATTTAATCCTAGTAATTAATATATAGAATATCTCTGTATCCATTTGAATATCCAAAATTTTAATTTTTTTGTGATAAACGTGCTGAATGGTTCCATGGCGGGGAGTGGAAAGAAATGAAGATGCTAATCTAGCTAACTACCTAACCCATTTAAGGCAAAAAATTATTTAGGCTGTGATAGAATTTATATGACGAATTGATCAAATAAGAATAATGCTTTCAAATAACAATAAATTATATATAATGAAGAGAAGAATAGTAGGGGTGTTCAGTCAAAAAGGAAGGCAAAAATAAATTATAATATTTATTTTTTACATATGCCGACGTTTCGACCTGAAGTTCATGCCTTCATCAGGGCTAAGAAAATAACCAGATAACAAGGTATAAGAAACATAAGTAATGATGGTAAAAAAGATTAAAAAAATATAAAAAAATTATTAGAAAAATAAAATAGATAAATATAAAGTAAAATGAAATTGTTAGAATAATGACTAAGAACTAAGAGATAAATAATAAAAACTGTTACAAAGTGTGGAATGATGAAGTAGGCATAATCAAAAAGGGGGTGACAAAAGTGTTACAATGGGAATCTTAGAATAAAATGTAAAACATAAAAAAGAAATATAAAGTTATATAAGAAATGAAAATAAATAGTAAAATTAAAACATTGAGAATGGAGTAGTATTTATTTTCATTTCTTATATAACTTTATATTTCTTTTTTATGTTTTACATTTTATTCTAAGATTCCCATTGTAACACTTTTGTCACCCCCTTTTTGATTATGCCTACTTCATCATTCCACACTTTGTAACAGTTTTTATTATTTATCTCTTAGTTCTTAGTCATTATTCTAACAATTTCATTTTACTTTATATTTATCTATTTTATTTTTCTAATTTTTTTTTTTTTTTTTTTATTATCTTTTTTACCATCATTACTTATGTTTCTCATACCTTGTTATCTGGTTATTTTCTTAGCCCTGATGAAGGCCTGAACTTCAGGTCGAAACGTCGGCATATGTAAAAAATAAATATTATAATTTATTTTTGCCTTCCTTTTTGACTGAACACCCCAACTATTCTTCTCATTATCCACGACAGTCAACCAATTACCAATTATAAATTATATATAGTCGGGATTTTCGGTCATGTTTTTATTTTCATTTACCTATACATGAAATATACAGCACGGGACAGTAATGCGATGGTGAAAATTTTTTACTCTTAAGTTTTCAACGGAAATATAAGTCTCCAGAGTAGCTATAACCAAGTCCCGCAAAATGGTCTGTGTGTGTGTGTGTTAACAGTCTAGCTCAAAAACGAAAAGTCGTACGAAAGTGAAATTTCATATTTAAGATTTGTGTATACCTTGTATGTTTATAGCAACTTATCCGTAAAAATCGGCTAACCGGAAGTGCCACTTTATATCAACGGCGAAACACATTTTTACAATTTTCTCTAAAAC